AAGCCATTCCATTTGTGGTATATTCTTGTCAAAGCGGTACTAGATAACCAAAACATACTTCCTAATACAGAAGAATCCTACATATACTCCTATCCCTAACAAAATTTGTTTTTCAATTGCACTTAATGAAGAGTGAACTGTCTTTCTTCTTGGGCATTAAGTAACAAGTGAGACTCACTCTTTTCTTTACCATATATTCACAGTATGCTGACTGAATCCTCAAGGATAATTTTAACTGACTGAAAGCTCAGGCTGAAGATGGCAAAAGGGTTAATAGAAGCATAGAAGATGAGTGCCTTTCAAACTTTTCTGTAACACATAGAAACATAATATATAAACTTCCTAAATATATTCCCACATTGAGTGTATACCTGAAAGGAGCACCAAGAAAAAATGGTTAAGCCCTACTCAAGTGCAATGCACTCTGGTATTTTCTATTCTATTTCATTATTTTTAAAATGCTGCTTGTGGTCTATGGTACATACTGGTTCAGCCATGGCCGACAGAGGGAAATCAGATTAATACTCAAATTTTTTAAATTTGGATGAAGTGGAATGATAATCAGAACAGGAGAAATTGCACGTTGAAGTTCTGCAATGGGGGATTCAGAAGAGGCATAGCAGATCCATTCATGAGCCTGATGCAGAAGATGGTATTACTGCCAGGACTATGGACCGCAACACACATTCAAAGCAGAGAGGTCAGCCATCATCTTTGAGCAGGGCACTGTTGTTTCCCACTCTGCCAGTCAAGAGATTTGGGTGCTATGCAATGCCCTTGCTGTTCTTGTTTTCTAAGAAGAAGATTATGTTTCTAGCCAGGCATCAACCAGTAATTTTTCCCATTCCAGTTACTGCTCTACTCATTCACATTTTATAAATTCTGATCTGTTCTGGCTTCACTGCGTCAGCCATGACTGACCCAGGAAAAAACAGTTTAAAGCCCTCTTTCCAACTCACCAATGGCCTCATAATTTGCAAACCACTGCCAAAAACCAAACCTTACAGTTGCATCCGATAAGCTATTAACAAACCCTTTAAAAAGCCAGTGGAAAGGACTTTTGGTAAGATGGAGGAATAGGCAGACAAGCAACACAGACTCTCTTCAACAAAGAAAATAAAAACCAATTGACAGAGATACAGAAGATAATCCTGGAGCCCTGAGCTTTGAAAGGAACTATACAAAAGTGGACTAGACACCAACTAGTGGAAAAACCTGAACAAAAACAGTGAGGACAGAGACAGACGGAGCTGCAGATCATCAGCTACTCTGACAGCACCAACAGCCTGAATAGTTCCAAATGGTGGTGGTGGTGGTGTTATGTACCATCGAGTCGGACCCGACTCATAGCGACCCCGACTCATAGCGACCCCTCCTTGGGTTTCCGAGGCGATATCACTACAAAAGTAGATTGCCCAACCTTCCTTCCAAGGAGTGACTGGTGAGTTTGAACCGCCAGCATTCTGGTTAGCAGTCAAGTGCCTTAGGCACTATGCTACCAGAACTCCTCCAAGTGGTGTTAGGACCTCAGAATTGACCTAAAGATCAGCTCTGGTCACCAAAGGCTGCAGGGACAACTGCGCTGGTGGCCTATGACTAGGAAGGGAAACAGCAAGGTGGGAGACAACCTGAGCTGTTGACTTTCCACTGTCAGGAGGGTGCAGCCATTTTGATTGTTTCAAATGGCAGCCATTTTGGATATTTCAAGTGACTGAAGGTGCAGTCATTTTGAATCTTTACAAGTGGAAACCATCTTGGATTTTAAAGTGACAGCATTCTCATTTGGATTCCAGGGACCTAAGAATAGGCTCTGTTTGCCAAGGTTGGCAGGGACATATGAGGGGCTGACAACAGGAAAGAAGACAGGTGGTGAGTGTATGTTGTTGTTGTTGTTGTTTGCCATCGAGTCGGCCCCGACTCATAGCGACCCCTCCTTGGGTTTCCGAGGCAGTATCACTACGGAAGTAGGATTGCCCAACCTTCCTTCCGAGGAGTGGCTGGCAGGTTTGAACCGCCTGCCTTCTGGTTAGCAGTCAAGTGCCTTCAACTAGCAAATAGAGGAGCACAGTACCCTGCTTGCATAGATAACATACAAACACAACAAAGAAAATTAAAATTGTGAGCAAGTCACTCCAACATACAATCACCAATTAAATATAAACACAAAAACGTCACAATGCCTCAGAGACAACAGAGCATTACAGTCCACACAAAAAAGCAAGATAAAGCAGGAGAAACAAGAGACCAGGATACAGACCTAAAACACGTCCCTGAGGAAGATGCAGCATTGGAACTCCCTGATAAGGAACTCAAAAGAATTATATTTAGGTATCTTCAACGAATTGAGAGACAGATCAAGGGAAACACAGAGAAAACCCGAGAACAATTTCAAAAGACAATATAAGAACAAAATGACAAAATAAATGAAAAATTAGAAATGATACAAAGTCTACACAGAAATCCAAAAGATTAATACTAAATTTTCATAAATAGATAAGACAGTAAATGGGCAAAGGAGAAGAACTGAATCGATGGAAGACAGAATTAGGGAGACTGAAGGCAAATACCTGAACACATCTTTGGAAAGAGATCAATCAGAAAAAAGAGCAAAACAAAATGAAGAAAGCCTAAGGTTCACGTGGGATACCATCAAAAGGAATAACCTACATGTAATCAGAATTCCAGAACAGGAAGACACAAATAAAACCACAGAGAAAATTATCGAAGATTTGTTGGAAGAGAATTTTCCTGGTATGATGAAAGATGAGAATATATCCATTTGGAAGTCCAACAAACCCCAAACAGGATAGACCCCAAAAGAAAATCACCCAGGCATATCATCATCAAACTTACCAAAACCAAAGATAAAGAAGGAATCATGAGAGCAGCACAGGAAAAACGAAAAGTGACCTTTAAGGGGCAACCAAAAAGACTAAGCTCGGATTTCTTGACAGAAACCATGCAGGCAAGAAGACAATGGAATGGTATGTATAAAACACTGAAAGAGAAAAATTTCCAATCAAGAACTATGTACCCAGCAAAATTGTCCCTCAAATATGATGGTGAAATTAGGGCATTTCCAGAGAAGCAGAAATTAAGGGAATTTGCTAAAACCAGACCAACCTTACAAGAGATGCTAAAGGATGCCCTATAGACAGAGAAGCAACAACAGCCAACAACAACTGACCGTTAACACACATGATGATACAACGTAGAAACAAACCCAGCTATGGAGGTATCCAAAGTAAATAAGCCTACAAGACTGTAAACAGGGAACCAGAGACACCAATTGACAAATGAGGACAACTACAAACCAAAAAGAGGGAAAAAACTGTGTTGTTACAGAACTTCTAGATGGTAGGGAAGTCAAGACAAATACAAGATAGAACGACTGTTCTAAACTTGGGAAGAAAACTATAAATCACAGGGTAACCTCAAAGGAAAATGATAAACCTTCACATCAAAAAAGAAACCAGCATAAATATTCAGCAAATACTAAAATAATAGCAATGAAGGAAGTGATAACACGATTCATAAACAAAACGAGCTCAGAACAGAAAATTATATGGAACAAAGAAATCGACACCACGAAAAAGCACATAATAAAAATGACGGCAACAAATTCGTATTTGTCAATAATTACATATCTGGCAAGGAACTTATTTCTAAGATTATAGTGAAAGAGTGGATGACCAAACTATGGTACATACACATAATGGAATGCTATGCAGCACTAAAGAATAACGTAGAGTCTGCAAAACACCGCATAATATGAACTTGGAGAACATTATACTGAGTGACATAAGTCAATCACAGGACAAATATAGTATTAGTTCGTTGTTCTGGAGGGTCAAGGAAAGGTTTTTATATGGAGGGAAACTTTCTTTGTTGGTTGCCAGGGGTAGGAGGGGAGGGAAGGGAACAGTGCAAAAAAAAAAAAAAAAAAGCATTGACCCATGTCACTTTAGTTTTGTGTATTTCACTATACATAATTATATTTCAATGAAATGCATTTAAAAAAAGCCAGTGGAAAGCTGACAAATCATACCAGACACCCCCAGATAGTTCCCAGTTCCCTCCTTTGTCCAGGAGCTGCAGCTATTCGGGTTTAGGTCTCTCAAATTCCCTACTTTTCTCAGGTGACCCACGGTAAATCTGTCCTATGCCCTTTTAAAAATCTCTTTATAAATACAATTCATTCAGTCCCTCAGGGGGCAAAGTTGATTCACTGCCCACTGTGGAAAGCAATACTTCCTTTATGTCCCCAAACCACCTCCCTGAAGAAAAGAACGCCTCTGAGGAACCCAAAATGAAATTAACAAGTTGGTGCTCCTCGTGCCTTTGTGATCTATTCGTGAGAGTGATCTATAGAAAGAATATGTACACATTGTCTCGCGCAGTGTTCATCTTCCCAGCCTTAATCGTTGGCAGATCCTGTCTCTGGTGAAATGAGAAACCAGGGAACCCCCTGCAGCCGAGGAGCCGCTCATCAGCATGACAGAAGTGAAAGCTGTGGACTCACTCACACCCACTGCACAGAAGCGCCTGGCAAACAAGTCACAAAGTCATCTCAGACCCAAGTCCTGAAAAGGAGGAAAGGAAACAGACCCGAGAAGTCGCGCCGGAGTGACCAGCCTAGGCCATCGGACCACGGCGGCTCGTAAAATCCTGACCGCAGCCCACCTCTCTCCACACCCGGCTCACACCCCTGGGAAGGCAGGTGAGCTTGGGCTAGGGATGCGGGGACGCAGAGGCCACAGAGACCACCGCCGTCCACGGCGACGTGATTGAGGCGTGTGTGGGTCAGATCCGCGCTCCCCAAGACCCCTCGGGGGTCCCCTCCCTGTCGGGACTCCTTCCACTGGCCCTCTGACCCCAAAGGGCCCATGACCCTCCCACTGTAGCCTGTCCTCACCCACCCTCGAGAAGTGCACCTCTCCTACTGCAGGGAAAGAAAGGGCTAGGGAAAGAAGAGAGAAGTGTGACAGGCCCGGCCATACCGCTCTCGCCGCCCAGAAGCATCCGGCTGTGGGCCCCCTGGTCAAGCTCCACCCTCCCCCGCCCCACGCGGCCTCCCCCTCTGCGCCTGCGCGCCAGGGCCCGCCGGGAGGGTGATGATCTGAGGGTGCGCGCGCGCCTAGCGTGTATTGGCGTAGGGGGGTTGAGCCTGCGGGACCCCGCCCCTCTACCTCCCCCTCCCTTCTCCCGCTCCCCCTCCCCCATACACTGCCGCGGCCGCCGCAGGAGCCCGGAGCTCTAGCCGCCCAGCGACTCCCCCTCCCCCTTCCCCCCAGCCCCGCCCCGCCCCAACCCGGGGCTCCGAGCCGGAGCCGAGTCTTCGCCTGGGGGTGAGTACCTGACCCCTCCCCAGCCCCCTCTTTTTTCTTGGAGGATCTACCACCACCCAAAGAAAAAACCCGGACTCAGCTGTGCGTCCCCTCCCTTCAGCCTCCTGCGGGACTCGGAGGTGCCCGGGCCCGCGGGACCCAGCGGTGGCGCGCGCTGTCCCCAACCCCGTATCATCCCGATCCAGATGTGAGTCCTCCGACCCTTGCCAGGGGTCCAGATGTACGCCCTCTGTCCCCACCCCCCTGAGATCCCAAGGGGTGGGACCCCCGAGCCCGGCCCTCTAGCACCACTCTTCTCCCACCTAACCAGGCTAGGTGCGCGCCCCCTCGGCGCCCTTCGGGAGTTCCAGCTGCTCCCCACCAGCTCGCCGCTGTGGGGAACCAGCCGCCCCCGCCCCTGACTTTTGGATTCCGGGGTTGCTGAGTCCGGTGCCCTCGATCGCTTTTATCTTTTCTCTTGTTCTCGGGGCCAAATATCCAGAAGCCAACCCAGGGTTTGGGGCAGGGTTCGCGGGTGCTGGCGTAAGGCCGGCCGCTGCCCACGGCCAGTCTGGGGACTGGTCGGCGGGCCGACGAGGCAGCTGGCCCCAGGAGCGTGTCCTCTCCTTGCGCCCCACACACAGTGCAGTTCATTCATGAGCCCCTCGGGCCTGCGTTGGAGAGTGCTATGGGGAAGGCATTGAACCGCCAATCCCGGAGTGGGGCAGAGGCCCTGCTGAGGGGAGGGGGTGCGGTTTGTCCATCCTGGCCTTCTTCTCTGCCGAGGGGCGGACAGCCCCACAGCTTTGGCCCCTGGTTCCTCAGAAAAGGGAAAGACGCTTGGGAAGTGGGGAGAAGAGGTCAGAAGGGCCGCTGCCCTTGAGTCTATGCCGCCACCTGCCTGGGTCCCCTGGACAGAGAGGTCTGGCTGTTTAGAGCAAGTCTAAACACTCTACCACCCTGCCGGGCTAGGTCGTCCCTACCCAGTACTTTACCTCTCCCTGGGTCTGCATCGGCCCAGGAAGAAGGAGACTGTGCCCAACCCCTCTCCAGGAGGGGCTCCCAGTCCTGCCTCCCAGGCACAGGTAGGGTGGGAAGTGGGAGTGTCTGCCAGGCTTCAGGTAAGGTGTCCTGGCAGCATGACTATCTTCCAGGGCACCGGAGGGTCCAGGCCCTGGCATGCCCTGGTGGCACATGCTGCTGTTGGCTCACCAGACTCGGTCCTGGCCTGTGGGTAGGTGTGTGGGTTGGTAGAAATGTGACAAAGCAGAAGGTAGGTGGTGGGTAACTAAAAGCCCCCTTTTGGACATCCTATAAGTTCCCTACAATTACAACAGATTCATAAAGCCCTAGGTTAAATTCCAGCTCTACCATTCTTTTGCTGTGTGACCTTGACAAGTTACTTAACTTGTCTGAGCCTCAGTTTCCATTAAAAAGTGTGGTTACCTCTGCTTCCTTCCAGCGTTTATCCTGGACTCTAACTTGATAACACACATAAAGAGCCTGGCACCTTGCCTGGCAAGTGATCAATAATGGGTTCTCTTCTCTGAACTTCTGACCCATCCTGGCATAGCATCTCACCCTGCTGTGTCCCACCTCCCTGCCTGCTACAGATGGATCTGGTATATTTGAAGAATTTAGGAGCATTACCTGATACTCAATGACAGTCCCTAACATAATATAATCCCTTAGATCTAAACAAGAAGCCCATCCTGACTGAGGGGCTCTATCATATTAAAATCTATATTTTCTTTTAATTTTTACCAGTGTTCCTCTACTAAACCAACTCCTTTTATTCCACACCTTTTTTTTTTAAAGCTAATTTTTAAGAGCTGTTATGTGCCTTGAACAGCATTAAGAGCCTTACATAAATCATTTTATTTAATCCTCAAAACAACCACACAACTGGATTAGTATTCCCATTTTACAGATGAATGTAGTTAAGTAATTTGCCCAGGTTAGAAATCATGTCTGTCTCCTCACCTCTCAGGCTATGTTGCCTGTCTCCTGTGTCTACTTCAGAACCTTAAATCACAATCCCAAGGCCTGAGTGGAGGGTCTGGGAGATATAAGCAAGGGAGAAGTTGAATGGGTTGAAATGATGTGTGGCATTTCTCCAGAGTGAAAGCTGGCAGCCCCCAACCCTTGGCTCCCTGGTGGAAGTGGCTTCTGTGTTTGGAGTGGCAGCAAAGTGCAGTGCTTAAGAGCATAGGCTGCCTTGTTCTGGATTCCAGATCTACCACAGACTGGCTGTGTAATTTGGTCAATTGATGTACCTTCTCTGTACCTCATTGTCCTCTGGGTTGTGATGGGGAGTAGTTGAATTAGTATTTGTAAAGTGATTTAAAATAGTGCCTGGCACAGAGTAAGAGTTAAGTTGTTGTTGTTGTTGTTATGTGCCGTCGAGTCAAACCCGACTCATAGTGACCCCTCCTTGGGTTTCCGAGGCAGTATCACTACGGAAGTAGGATTGCCCAACCTTCCTTCCGAGGAGTGGCTGGTGGGTTTGAACCGCCAGCCGTCTGGTTAGCAGGCAAGTGTCTTAGCCACTATGCTACCAGAGCTCCCAGAGTTAAGTTAGCCTTTAGTAAATGCTTTTTTTTTTTTTTTCCTCACTTATGGATACATTTTTGCCCATCCTTAGTAGGCACGGATGTTAATATCCCTGTGTTACTGATTAGAAGACTGAGGCCTAGGTTGCATTGTAACAGAGCTCACCTCCATCTTCTTTTCCTCTCATAAGACCACACTGCCTTCCCATGTTCCAGTCCCCTAATTTAAATTAGGACCCAAATCTTCCCAAGTAATTCTATAAGGAAGAGAGAAAAAAATAAAACTTTTTAACTTATAATTCCCATACCCCTACTTTGCACACACTTCTTAATGTTAAGATAACCGCCTTAAATTAGTCTAGAACTTAGTCTCTGTCACTCTCTCTACACACTTCCAGCTGAAATCTCAGAGCCTCAAAGCTAAACTAGAGAAATTCTAGGATACAGCTGGCTTGAGCACTCCCCTGTGGAGGGGAGGGACTGCACCTTGTCCCCTCTACTCCCTCCTTTCCCCCAATATTCTGTCTCAGTCTCTTCCTTCCTCTCAGCTGCTCAGCCCAGTGCTGGCTTTGAGTGCAGCTGCCATTGATGAGACTCAGCCCAGCAGCTCCACCCCCACAATTACAGAGCTTGGAGTAACCCTGTCTGCAGGTAGAGCCGCAGCCCTGGCCTTCACTCCTTATCTGCTCTTCCTGCCTTGTAAAATGGGACTAGTGGTCAGCATGTGTCCTGCCTTCCTTTCCACATGTTGTAGGCAAGAGGGTCAAATGCAGTTGAGGAGGGGAGAATGCTTTGTGACTGAAGGAGCAGCAGATGGACATGGCCATTTCAGTTACCAAACATTTAGCTGGACCCTCACTCACCCTGCTAGGTCCCCTTAGTATAGAAAAAAACCAAACCCATTGCCATCGAGTCTATTCCAACTCATAGCGACTCCCATTGGGTTTCCAAGGCTGTGAATCTTTCCAGAAGTAGATTGCCTCATCTTCCTCCCATGCAGCAGCTGGTGTATTTGAACCACCGACTTCTGGTTAGCAGCCAAATGTGTTACCTACTAGGCCGCCAGAACTCCTTCTACCCTCCTTAAGAATGGAGATGTAAGGAGATGGCACTCCAGGGGGGTTTGTACTCATTGCATCCTGGCTTGGTGGAGCCTTTGAGTTTGGGGAGAAAAATGGACAAAGAGTGGGAATGGCTGTTGCAATTATTTCTGGAGTGCATTGGAGTTGGGAGTTGAGAAGTGAGACTGCTGTAGAGGCCCTGCTATAGACCCAAGATACCTACGCCCACCTTTCATCTTCCCTGATACGTCGCTCCGTGAACCTTCCTTTTACGTATTCAGACTCCTAGACACCCCCCACACACACACACTTAGATGCCAACAGCCTCATTTCTGTGGGTTGACATGCAGTCACCTAACTCCTCCTGCACACACACATCAACACACATATCCCCATAATGTCCTTGTGTTCTCTGGCCAAAGAACATTTGATAAGCATTTATTAAGCTTCTGTGGTTTGCAGAGTCCCTTTCTAGGTACTTTAGAAAATCATCATGCTGCTCTGAAAAGCGTCTTAGCTTTAGAACTTTAGAGGGATGTTGACCTTGATTTGAATCCTGGGGCCATTGTTTTGTTGTTGTTCTTCTGCTGTGTGACCTTAGAAAGGTTACTTAACCTCTCTGAACCCCTGTATCCTCATCTTAAAATGACAATGACATCCAACTTATAAATTGTCATGGATTAAATGAAATCCTGGGAGCTCTGATGGCATAGTGCCTAAGGCATTTGACCGCTAAGCACAAGGCTGGCTGGTTCAAACCCACCAGCCACTCCTCAGAAGGAAGATTGAGCAATCTACTTCCCTAAAGATACCACCTCAGAAACCCAAGGAGGGGTCGCTAGAAGTCAAATCAACTCAATGGCAGTGAGTTTGGTGGGGTTTTTTTTGTTGTTGTTTTTTTAATGAAACCATGTCTGTTAACTCCTGAAACAGTGGGAACTCAATAAATGGTATTCACTGTAATGACTAAATTAAGGCAGATTGGGCTGGGAAAGGAGAGGGAGTAACAGGGCAGTTATTCGCTTACTCACTTAGCCTTCCTCAATCATGCTTTCAGAAACTCCCTGGGACCAGTAAAACCCACAAACAACCCAGCCTCCACCTCCCCCCCAAAGCATGAGCATCTTGCCCAGCAGTTGT